CCACCCAGCCCTGGTGGGCAGGTCCTGACCCCCGCTTTCTCACTGGCCAACACCCCTGTGAGCAGCGAGCTGGGAGACCACAGCTGCAGCAGCGACATGACTGATTCCTCCGCAGCATCGGGCACTAGCGAGCCCCCTGACAGTCCTGCGCATCCAGCCCTGCGTGACCCTGGCTTCCAGCCTGGTATGGATGATGACAGCCTCGAGCGGATCCTGAGATTCAGTGACTCAGACCTGGGTGGAGAGGAGGATGAAGAAAGGGGTGTGGGGAACCTCGACAACCTCAGCTGCTTCCACCTCGCCGATATCTTTGGTTCTGGTGACCCCAGTGGCCTGGCTGGCTGGACCCACAGCTATGCCAATACCAGCTTCACATCAGGCATCCTGGATGAAAATGCCAACCTGGATGCCAGCGGCTTCCTAAACAGTGGCCTTGAAGGGTTGGGAGAAGGCAGCCTCCCTGGCACCGAGGTGCCGCCCAGCATGGACGCCGGCCAGAGCAGCTCAGTGGACCTCAGCTGGTCTTCCTGCGACTCTTTTGAGCTGCTCCAGGCCCTGCCAGACTACAGTCTGGGGCCCCACTACACCTCTCGGAAGGTGTCTGACAGCCTGGACAACCTTGAGGCACCCCACTTTCCCTTACCTGCCTTTTCCCCGCCGGGGGACACCGGCGTTTGCTTCTTGGAATCCATCATGGGCTTGTCGGAGCCAGCTGCCGAGGACGCTGGCTTCCTTCTGGAACAGCCGGTTGTTTGAGGACACTGCCCTGGCATCACTGCTGGAGCTCGTGCCTGTGCGAGGACTAGGGGGCCTCTTCCCGGCCCCGAAAGCCCTGTTGCTGCTGTGCCATAATTTGGGGGCTCTCTGGGGCCTGTAGTAGGTAACCGTCTCCCATTGGCCGGCTCACCCATGTGGGCATTCCTAATTTCCATGCAACCCTCTGGGTTGATTTATTATTTATTTTTGTAACTTTCTGTGCTGGAGAGTGGGAGGGGGCTCCCCCCTTCAGCCACCCAGCCCCTGGTGCCCAGTTTCTCCCACTTCCATGGTGTGCCAGGAAGAGGAGGGCATGATGTTTCTTAGCCTAATGACAGCGAGACAGGGCTGGAAACATCTACCTCTTCCGGCTTCTGCCATCCTGAGCCCTCGCCCCCTGGGTGGCTGAATCCTCTGGACTGTGAAGACTATAATTTATTTCCATAATTTATTTGGAGACTAGGCAGCTTAGGCTTCTCATCCCTGGCCGGGGTCAGGGTGGGGCACAGACCCCACGAGTCCCTTTTACCTTATAGTCCTGCAGCCCTGCCTGGTCTTAGGTATAGACCAGATGTGGATTCAAACCCTATGTCTACTGTGGCAGCTGCCTGGCTCTGGATGGTTGAGCAGGCAGAGGTTAGCCTCGGACAGTGTCTGGGCAGAGGAGGGACTGAGCTGACCAACCGTGACCCACTCAGCCCCCTCTACTTCCTGTCCTCTGCCCCATCTCTCCCCTCCCCCAAGGGCCATAGCCTTTAGTCCTGGTCCACCAATGTAGGAAGGGGAAGCAGGAGGCCGAGCGCGCGCAAGGGGCTTGCCTCAGTGCCTCGGGGCCCACCGCATGCCCTTGAAGACAATCTCAGGGCTTTCTGGACACTGCACTCCAGCCTGGCCCACCTGCCTGTACCCTTGGCCAGTTGGCCAAGACAAGGGGTGGTGCCTTATGGCTCTTATGCCCGTTTGTTGATGATGAATTTTGCATCCTAATTTCTATATTGTCCCTGAATATTGTAACTATAATTTATTCATTTTTTCTCTGTGTCTGTGCCAAGGAGCCCAGGCTCTGGGCTTGCCTTCTTACCCAGGAGGCCGTCAGCCTGTGTGCTTGTGGGAACACCTTCTACCTGAACTTACAGGTACCAATAAAAAGGCTCTATTTTTAATGGTGCGGTCTGCATTTGTGGGAAGACTAAGAACACAGGTGTTCGCTCAGAAGTGAGGGGGAGGGGAAGGGAGACAGGCCCTGCATGGCAGCGCGGATACTGAGGCCGTGTTGGGAATGGGAATTGGGGACACAGTATGCTGGGCCTCCTTCCACGAAGGCCAGGCACCCTGGAGACTGGAAGCCAGCTGAGAGGCTGGTTGGGCTCACGGAACCCCTCTCTCCAGGGATCTCCTGGGGTGGATAGTCTGAGACAAGCTGTGTGCTTGGATGGGTGAGGGCACTCACCCACACTGAGCTGAGGCTCTAAGGGTGAAGTCGCCGCCCCTCCCCCAGGTGGAGGCAGGCGGAGGGGTAGGGTGGGTGGAGGCCTTGTGTGGGGCTGAGCTACTGATGTCCCTGGGGACTTGAGCACCACACACCGGAAGCTGTAGAACTTCATCCATCTGCACCAGCCAGACCTGTCCGACCTGTCCCTGGCCGCCTGGGCTGCAGGCCAGAGGAGCAAGCTGCACTCTGCCCTGGTGAGCCCCAGTCTGGGGGCTTGAGGAGCAAGGTCAACCTCCCTCTTAGCAATAATCATTTGCACAAGTGCTGGGAAGGGGACCCAACAAGGAGACCTGACTTCTTGTTCTAATCCTCTGCCTCTGTTGGTTGGCGCGCTCTGTGGTTTACTGGTTAAGCACACCGACCCACAGTGCCAAGTTTGAATCCCAGCTCTTCTACCACCAAGTGAGATTTCTTATGCAAATGACTTCCTCCTTACTGTGCCCAGGTGTCCTCAATCTGTGCAAATAACCCTGCTCACCTCCTAAGCTTGTCTAGTTCATGTATATACAGCACTCCGGAGAGAGTCTGGAACATGCAAGCCTCATGACTTCCATGCTCTTTTCATGCTTTGGCCTCTATTTCTCTGTTTTATCCTTTTTTTTTTTTTTTTTTTTTTTTTTTTTACCACGTTTGTCACCTTTTAGGTACATCTCTTGCCTTGGGACATGCATGCACATGGTCACATGGCCACATGGTCAGTGACCACTAGAGGACTCAAGGCTTGGCCCATGGTGGGGTAGGCTGTCCTTGTGACCAGCTTAGGCAGGGACAGCCGGGTCTTAGGCTTCTCATGGTGGACACTGAGTTGCCCTGTCTCTCTCACTGGCCCCTGGGAATCCCTTTGTAGAGATTGCTTCAGCATGCGTGAGCCAAAAGCGCATCTCTCCAAAGGCAGTGAGGCTCAGCTCTGAGTAGCCTGGGGTCTGGGTGGCAGCCTCCAGCAGCTCCAATACCCCAGCTGGAAGACCCTGTGAGCTCCTACCCCGTGGACACAGCCCATGGCTAGACTCAACCTGCTCACACCCCCTCTAGAGCCACAGGGCCACTTGGCCTTTTTTTTTTTTTTAAAGATGAATGAAGACGGTTGAGGTTTTACAGCAATGTAAGTGTGCTGAATATACAATCTTATGGCATCATTTTCCATACGGACAGACCTCTCCACACAGCCCTTGTGGAGAGGGGCTAGTGTTCGGACAGGTTATGGGTCGAACCTGTGGTCCCACGTGGCTGTGATTCAGGCTGCCTGAGGTGCAGCAAGTAAACAAAGCTTGATCAGGTGCATGTCATTGAGTAGAAACCCACGAGAACGTTGTAAACATCTTGACCACGCCCTTACTTTGCCTTGTGGAATCTGGCTATAAATAAAGACTTGGCTTGCAGGCCATGGCGCTGTCTCTCCATCAGAGAGGGCAGCGTCCCAACCAGACCCAGCTTTCCTCATCTGTCTTTTCTAAATCCTTCACCGCCCCCCCCCCCCCCCCGGCTCACTGAACCTGGCTGTGCAGGGGGGGCACAAGCCTTCCCGAAGAAACGGCGTTGTAAAGCACCTCATAGCCCAGTGGACTGTTTTCCCATAAGGAAGATGGTAGTAACCTGGGGAAAGCCTTCCAGGTCATCGACTCATACCCAGAGGCCATGCCCGCCACCCGTCAGACACCAGGCTCAGCAGCCAGCAAGGACAACTTGAGCTGCTCTGAAAGGGACCCTCCCCCGTTCACTGTTCCCAAACCTTAGTCACCGGCCTTCTCTCGATAACTGCCATATCCACATGCTACTCAGACTATAAGCATTTTACTCCGCATCAATTACATCCACATTCTTAAAAGTTAGACCCAGTCTATGTGACACCACCCACGGATTCAGGGGTTGGTTGTGCTGTTCTCCATTGTCTAAAACTATTTAAACACATAGTTATTAAACTTTAAATGTGTTTGCTAAATATCACCTGCAGGGATTTGTACCATGATTTGGGAACACACGGATCTGGTCTAATTTCCTGCCACAGATGGGGACCTTGAGTCCAAGAGAGGGGAAGGAAGGGTCTTGGGAAGGTCACACACGGACATTCTAGACCTCCTGATTCCCAGAGTCCCTTCCCCCCGAGGTCAGACGGCCCATTACTGCCATCCTGATAAACAGGAAGGCAGGCACTGGGAGCACAGCAGAGGGGACCCCTCTCACCCTCTTGCCAGTTACAGTGAACGATATTCACTTAAGTAGGGACCCCTGCTTTTGTGCCCTTAGGTGCTAAAGGGCTCCTCCGGAGGATGAAGGAGTTGGCCAGTGTCTTTTACAGAAGCTGAAGTGGGAACTGTTTTTTCTTATGATGCATTTCCCTGTACCAGGCAAGGGCAATTTCCCAAACCAGTGGGGACCGGCAGAGGCCAGCTGGGGACTCGGGGAGGAGACAGAATGCCAGGGGCAGAGTGGGCCGCCAACCCTTGCAGCCTGCAGGGTGGCGGTCTCTCTCTCTCACACGGCACCGCGGCCTTGGGGACCTTGTGCAGCTGGTCCTCCCAGCTGCTCCTGTTGTCAGGGAGGACAAGCAAGCACCATGGCAGGGAAGAGCATCATGAAGAAGGGCTGCTTCTTTAGCTCCAGGACTCGGGGGACCAGACAGGAGAGGAGAGGCATTTACGGGGCTGCCGTAACAATATTAAAATAGCTGTAGGGTATTTCTTTAACCACCTGTTTGCTCCCCTATGTCCCCTCCCAGAGTCCGGAATAAAGGTGGCTGACCGAAGGGGACCTGATCTAAAAGAGGGGTGCCCAGTGAGCCCAGGGGAAGCTAAGCTGCTTGTTGTCCTTGTTCCCCAGAGCAAAACTGCTTCTTGTGCCTTAAGCACATAAAGCTTCAGGGCGCCCTTTAGACCAGAGGAGGTATGGCTCAAATAAAGCACACGACACTGACACGGGGAAGAATATGTCATTTTCTGAATCTCTTCTCCACTGGCCCACATCCCGCCCCCTCCGTGAAATGTCCGTAGGTTGGTGGCTTCCACCCAACCTGGCTCCCACTGACCACAGCTAGGCCCTCAGGGACCCCTGGGCCTTTACCAAAATTTCTTCTCTGATTTTGGGGTAGTTGGGGTACTTCCCGAGGACCTGGAACAGAGAGAGAAAGGGGGTAAAAACATCAGGCAGGCTCCCTGCCATACACCAGGCCGCTGCCCCAAGCCTCCACCCCCCCCCCCCCCCCCCGCCCCGCCAGTGCTGGTGGCTTACATTGTGGCAGACTTCAATGGCCTCCACGAATTTCTTGCCCTTCAAGTAGTTGAAAGCTAATTTGAAGCCTGTTCAAGGGCAGAGAGAACACACGCACCCTGATGACCTGAGTAACCCTCTGGTTCCCACACGGGCCTGAACACAGGCCTTGAGGCCTGCGGTAAGGTCCCGGTGGCGGTCCTTGACGGGCGGCCTTACCGACGGCAGGGTTGGCGTAATGGCTGTACTTCCAGGCCAGCTCGTAGTTGGTGGCTGCGTCCTTGTAGGACTGCTCCTTCTCCATGATGAAGCCCAGGTACTCATAGGCCTTGTAGCAGGACTGCAGAGCAAGCCGGTCAGAGCTTCTGCTGCGGGGCAGCCACAGCCGGCCCCAGCGCCGGGCACCCGCAGCCCCTCCTCGCCTAAGCGACCCCGGGACCCAGGAATCCTTCCCAGCTCTCTCCCCCATCCCATGCTCCCCTTGGCTGCCCGCCTTTGTACACCTCTTTATTTTCTTTTAAATGTGTTTTTATTTATCAGAGAGGAAGGGAGAGATAGAAACATCAATGATGAGAGAGAATCATTGATCGGCTGCCTCCTGCATGCCCCCCACTGGGGATCGAGCCCACAACCTGGGCATGTGCTCTGATGGGGAAATCAAACTGTGACGTCCTGGTTCATAGGTCAACGCTCAACCACTGAGCCGCACGGGCTGGACTGTACGCCTCTTCTTGCCTTGCCCTGTGCTGTGCTGCCTGTTCCCATCCTGCTCTTTCCTGGTCTCTTCTCATCCCACATCTGCTCGACCCTAGACGCCTGCCACCGGGTGTGCCCTGCCCGCGCCCCCCCCCCCCCGCCCCCCCAGGGCATCGCGCCCCTTGCCTTGTTGTACTGCACGCAGCGCCGCAGCAGCTCTGAGGCCAGGTCAAACTTGCCACCCTGGCAGTAGATGTCGGCCAGCAGGAGCCAGCTCTTCTCCAGGTCCTCGGCCTCAGCCAGCGCCCACGGGGCCTTGGCCAGACGCTTCAACTGCGTGCGGGCCTTGGGGACCTGCTTCAGCAGCATGTAGGCCTGCGCCATGGCCAGCAGCGCGGGGACGCTGTCCCTCTGTGCCCGAGGGAGGTGGGAGGCAGACGTCTGCGCCGGGAACCTCAGCCTCTCCCGCCCGCGCCCCTGCCCGCCCGGCCAGCCAGCCCACCTCAGCCTGTGCCATCTGGACGAAGGTGCCCAGCGCGGCCTCCATGTTCGCCTTCTCCTTGGTGGCCAGCAGGCAGAGGCCCTGCAGCAGCTGCAGCTGCGTCTGGCCCCAGGCCGTGTGCGGGTGGAACTCCCGCAGCAGCTTCTCAGCGGTGCGCACGCCCAGCTGCTCTGACTCCTTCCTGCTGGAGGCACTGGAGGCATCGGTGAGCCTGAGGCCACTGGCTGGCTCTCCCCGCTTTCCCAGGGTCCCGCCCCCGCCCCCAGGGGCCAGCCAAGCCCTTACATGCTCTCGGGCACAAAGTTGTAGAAGGCCTCTCCTCCCACTATCTCGTTGTCTGGGTTCAGGCAGATTTGCACCATGTAGCAGGTGGCGCTCTGGCCCCAAGCGCTGTCCTTGCGAGCTTTGTTTAGGAACTTGAGGGCTTCAGTGGGTTGCCCTATATGCCTGCAGTGGAGGAGAGAAACACCGGACTCAGACGGGGAAACTGAGACCCGGGGCGTGCAGGGGCTGGAGCGCTGGTCTCCCCGTTCCCTGGTCTGGAAGCTGAATTTCTGCAAAAGCCCAGCGTGCCTGCCTGTTAAGGAGAAAGCCTTCTCACTGTAAAGGCTGGACAACGCCCCCCTCCCCCCCCAACGCCGGCCTCCCCCACCCACACGCACTCACACGCACTCACCAGTGGTAGATGCCTGTGCAGTAGTTGAACCCTGGCTCCAAAAGCACGCGGCTAGACATCTTCTTGGCCAATTCAAAGAAGACAGGGGCATCTTCGAGCTTGCCACTTCTTCGTAGCAGATCAATTAGTTTATTCAGCACGGAAAAGTGGTCTAAAATAAGAGAGCAGCGATCTCCAGGCTGGGAGAAGGGAGGACGGGGACACTGCCCTGGGCTGAGCAGGGACATTCCAGCCGCTTCAGTCTCCAGCGTTGAGAGAGTAGGATAATGATGCGTAAAGTAGCAATAACCGCAGCTAGCAGTTATACTGAACCTGGCCTGATATTAACTACACAATGAAGCAGTTACTCTTATTGTTCCCATTTTACAGATGAGGAAGTGAGACACAAAGACGCTAAGAAATCTGCCAAGGGTCACACAGCTGATAAGTGGAAGACCAGGATTCAGACCTAGACATTCTGGCTCCAGGACCCACCCGCCTAACAGCTAGGATCTGATGGGCCTCTGGGCGGACGGCTGCGGCCTGCTGTGTCTGGCGCCTTCTCCAGCCAGAAGCGGGGGGGAGGGGTCGATGCGGTAGTGAGAGGCAATGAGAGGCAATGGAGCTACACACCAGGGGCGAATTTCTTAGCCACTTCCAGGGGGCTGTGGCCTCAGAGGGGACGGGGTGGATCCCCACTGCCTGGGGTTTGGGGACAGACAGGCTGTCCCGGGCCCAGTGCCCAGCACGGCCCTGCCTGAGGCCCGGAACCGGCCCCTCGGACACGGGAAGGACCAGCACGTTCCATCGGGGCTTTATCAGTTTCCTGCCTCTCTGGGAACAATCGGAGAGGAAGGGGTTTCCTCGGCCCAGTCAGGAAGGAGGGGAGAGGGCCCACCCTTCTGGGGAGAGCGGCCCGAGCTGGTGGGAACTGCCCCGGCAATCTCGGTGGGCAGGCTGCATGCAGGCAGCTACCTGGCGCTTTCTCCAGGACTTGGTGGTAGAGGTTGATGGCAGCTTCGTATTCCTGCTTCCTAAACATCAGGTCTGCCATCATCTATCAGAAAAGACACAGTGCTCCGGAATTCCTGACAGCAGCTTGCAAGGGGGTGGGGGCGGGGTTGGGGGTGGGGCTGAGGAGGGGTGGGGGTGGGGGTGGGGGTGGGGTCAGGGGTAAGGAGAGAAGGTAGAGAAGCGTCCCTGGGCACTGGGGGAAGCTGCCACAGGAGGAGCCCAGAAGGTGGGGCTGCCTGGGGGATGTGGGGGGGGGGGGAAGCATGGAAGTGGGAAGGGAAGGCCAGGGCTGGACACCAATGGGACCTTTTGACAGCTAGCACAGCCAGCCCCTCACCCGTGTCTGAGAACTGCTAGCCCGAGGCAGGGGAGGTAGAATGGGGGCTCCCCTGCTCTGCTGGGGTGGCCCTGGAGGTGGCCTGGGTGAGAGGGACAAGTGGCTCTGGGGAGGGGGGCTTTTCCCACACACACTTTCCGGAGCCCCAGGAACCAGCCCCACCCTTGCCTTCACCAACGGTGGGTGTGGTTTCCCCTGGAGTGAAAGGACCTCACCGCCTCCCCTGGATTGTCCCTGGAGGTAGATGCTGCCCCCTGCTGACAGCCCACCCCTCCCGTCTGAAGGACAGCAGGTCCATGCCAGGAGTCTCCTCTGCCCGGCAGGTCTCTGGCCGGGTGAGCCAGGCCTCGAGGTTATGAGGCTGGGAAGTAGCCTGCATGTGGTTGTGGGCGCCTGCGGGGGGCGGGAGGAGGTCCAGGGGGCCTCTTACCACGCAGGCGGTCTCATGGTACTTCTCGGTCTCCAGGAGGACTGCACAGTACTGCTGGCACAGGTCCAGATGTCCCTGCAGTAGCGAGACCCGCGCCAGCTCCAGCACCACCTGGAACGAGACCAGAGCGATGAACCAGCCACGGAGCGCCACGGGACCGCGCGGGGACGGACGCCTCGTTCTCTCATGCCCAGTTCTGCCCGCTCTGCTTCCAAGATAAGTCTCAGGTTCCCCGGAGAACTGGCCCTCCTCTTCTCCCCCCAGGACTTCCAGCCATGCCCTGTGTTTCACTATTGACCTTCTCGAAGTTGGGGGCCCGGTAACTCGCACTCATCCTTCAGCTTCGACTCTGATCTCACCTCTCCTGGGAAGCCCTCTGCACCCCAGACTCAGGGACAGGCACCCTTCTGCTGAGTTCCCGTCGTGTCCTGGCCCACATGCAGGCACAGGTCTCATGGTGGCAGAACTGCTTGTGTACTTGTCTACAGACCGTTGCCTGAGGGCAGGGACCATGCCTTGCCCCTCGGGTCTCCAGGGCCTAGCGTAGTACCTGGCACGTACTAGAAATCGGCGAGATGAGTACAATTTCAATGAATGAATGGGTCTGTCACTAAGCTTTCCATTTACTCTCTTCGCGTGAACTCCAGCCTCATTCCCTAACCGGAGCCATACCTCCCTCACGCCTCCAAGCCTCCTTGGAAACTTAGCCTGGGCTTCCTGCCCAGAGTCCCTGGCAGCCACACTCTCATTGTCTCCCCACCTCCAAGAGGGACCTGAGGACGCCAGACTAACATGACTTTCAGCAATGTCTTCCCACTCCACCCCCCACAAATGGCTGTCAAAGTGGGGCTCCCCAGCCTTGCTCCAAGGGCTGTGGTGGGAGAGGCCCCGGGGTCAGCTGGAGCGGCCTCCACACCAGAAGCCCCATGCCGCTTATGCCTGGGCTCCTGAGGGAGCCACAGCCTGCGCCCTGCTGGCCTGCGCCCTGCTCAGGGAGCTCAGCAGGGCATCGTGCCCCGAGAGAAGGAGTAGGGCCTGGCTTTGAGGACCCCACCTTGTTGTCAGTGGGCGAGTAGGAGAGGGCATCCTTGTAAGACCGCACCGCCTTGGCGTACTCCTTCTCCACCACGTAGTGCTCCCCAAAGTGGAAGCAGATGGAGGCTGCCAGCTCCTTCTGGGAGGGGATCATCTCCGGCTGCTCCAGCGGAACACGCTTCAGTATCCGAGACTGGAGGTCCAGGGCCTTGGGGAACCAGTCAGCGCAGGGTCAGGAAGCTGGAGCCTGATGTGCCAGGCCTCAGGCCACTTCACAGCCAGTCCCAGCTCTGGTTCCAGAGCCTGAAGCGTTAGAAAGGGCATCTCAAGCGCCTTTAGCAAATCTGGGTCCCTCTGGACACGCCAGGCCGCTGGCCGAGTGCTCCGGTGGCAAGCTGGCACCACCTCTGGGACAGGCCCAGAGCAAAAGCACTCAAACAAAACACGCTATTGTATTCTACTTGTTTGCCTGTTTCCATCACACCTTGGCACTTGCTGTGTCTAACTGGCTTAGGCCGAAGGGCTAGAACAAGCACACAGTAGGTATTCAATGCAAGCTGTGTTTTGATGGGTGCATTTGTTCTGAATATTGCCCTGCTGGGAATTTGAGGCAGCCCTCACACATGTCCAGGACGTGCAATGACCAAGTGAGTGAGTAGAGAGCATCAGGGCGAGAGGAAAAGGACGATGCCAGGGTGAAGTTTCAGGAAGAGGGCACAAGTCGGCACTGAGCTCCCCGGGGGCCAAAGAGAGGAATGGGGACCCCATGGCAAACAATGGAATAAATCCAGCAGTCGGAAAGCAGGCTGTCCCTCTCCAACCACAGAATGCACCCCAGGAACAAGGGACAGGCCACAGCCTTGGGTAGGAAGAGAGAGGTAGCAAAACAGGATGGGCAGGCGCTGTCCCGTCAGGGGCAGCCCAGGGGGGAAGGGTGTGGGTCAGGACCGGCCATATTCTGGTTCAAACCTCAGCTCCACCACTTTTGAGCAGTGTGACACTGGGCACATTTCTTAACCTCTTTGAGCCGTTTCTGTCAAATAGTAGATGTCACAGTGCCTTTCTCAAAGGGCTACTGTGAGAATTAAATAAGAAAGCAAGAAGCCTGGTACAGAATCCAGCATAGAGCTATGGGCATTGCCCATTATCATCACCACCAGCATCCTTGAGGACAAAGGCATTATCTTGCTCCCAGCCTTGCCCAGCCCAGCCCAGCCCAGCCCAGCCCAGCCGGGCTCACAGCACTTAGGTGCACCGTCAAATTAGTGAGCAAGGGTTGGGGAGTAAATGGAAGGTGGAGCTCAGAGGGGTAACGAAGCCTTCTTTTGAGGACCAAGCCTAGAGGCTTCCAAACCTTTAGTCCTATCCTTCCTTCTTCAGCTCCATCAGAAAATGGCAGATACAGACCTTGAGTCTATTGGTCAATTACCTTGTTCAAGGTTTCCAGCACATCTTCTTTCTTATGGCTCTTGTAGACCTTTGCCAGCAAAAGGAAGCACTTGACATCATTCATCATGGATGGGATGTCTGTGGCTGCAAAATGGAAACTCAAATTACTGTTCTCTGCCTCTTGGGGATGAGTGGGGGGCGCGGGGTTTGGGTTCAGGACCTCAGCTAGTGTCTGGTCCCTGCACCATTCTGCAAGAGAAGAGAGAACGGGGTGGGGAGCAAGATGCCTGCTCCCAATGCAAGGGGAGTGAGCTAGAATGCTACCTCACCTGCGTCATGTTCCAGTGCCTGCTTCAAAACCTTTTCTGCTTTGTTGAACTTCTTTAACTTCAGGAGCAGCTCAGCCAGATCACAGCACAGAAAGTCCTGTCCGCTAATCTTCTGGGCTGCCTCATAAAAGTTGATTGCCTTTGTGCAAACAGGAAATGCTGGCATCAGGTCGGGCTCTACACTTGAGCGCCTGGCCTTGTGTTCCCCTCAGCAGCCGCCACACCTGTGGGCCCCTCCAGAACACAGAAGCCTAAGAGGAAAAGGCCTTCCCAGCTGGCAGGGCTCAAGCTTCAGCCTGGGTAGGCGTGGGGAGTGGTGGAGGGTGGCCGAGTTCTCCCCTTGGCACCCCATTCCGCAGGGAGCTGGTGGGGGGGGAGGGGGACTCAGCCACTCCCCTCCCGTCCTGACCCCCTCTCCCACCCAGGCACCCTCCTCCCTCTTCCCTGCTGGGCTGGCCCTCCCCACCTCTTCCCGCCCAGCCCAGCCTGACCTTGGTGTACTCGTGGGCCTTCACATAAGCGCGCCCGATTCTGCTGACCAGGGAGGCGTCGTGTGGGTTCTTTCTATAGGCCTCGTCGTAAGCCTCCAGGGCCTTCTCGGGCTGGGGGTGGGGAGAGCTGTCAAGGGTCTCTGCCTTCTCTCCCACTGGGCAGGTAAGATTGGGGGGCGATGGGCCAGGCCATGAGGCCCTTGCTCACCTCCAGAATGTTCATGAAGGCATCGCCCAGCAGCAGGCTGGTGTCGGGGCCAGGCAGATGTTCACAGAGCTCCCTGCACAAGTAACCAGAAGCCTATCTCAGACCTGTGCATCCTTCACATTCCTGAGGCCGCCGCCTTCTCTTCTTTCCACGATTCCTGGCTGACATTCACCCATTCCTCCAATACTCACCGAAAGCCCCATGGGCACGAGGCTCTCCTCCTCTGTCACCTGGGCCGTGGCCAGAGCTCCGCCCAGCCCTCCAGACCCCTCTCCATGAGGCAGCCACACTGCTCTTCCTAGGACTCCCACCTGACCACGTCACCCCACTGTGTAAGGTTTCCCACTGCCACTGGGATAGTCTCCCCTCCCCCCTCCCAGCCTGCCCCTCCCACCTGAGTTGCCAAATCGAGTTTTGCCTGAGGAAAGGGACTGGGGAGGTAGCCTCTGGGTCCCAATGTCAAATCACAGAGACGGCGTCTTGGGGCTTCAGATCGGCTCTCCGTCCTCCTTCACCTCACATTAGTCACATCCAAGTCACTGGACATTTCCTCGAGGATGGGCAGAGCGGGGGCCAGGGCAGAAGTGTGTTCCCATGGTTCCCCCCAGAATGTGGGCCATACAAGGGGGAGGGGGTGCAAGCAGGGCTCAGTGTCCTCAGAACTCAGCAAGGAGCCAGCCTGGCTGACCTACCATGCTCAGTTCCAGCCCTCGGGGAAATTTCACACTCTCAGCCAACGCCACTGCGAGGAGGCTGCGGGTGCGTGCGCGTACCGGTAGCACCCAATGTAGAGGCGGACGTCTTTGCGGATGTGCAGGTAGATGCTGGCCATCTTCTCCTTGGCTTCCGTGTAGTAGGGCTGCTTGGGCGTGATGTTCCTCAGCATGCTCAGCGCCATGTCCACGTTCCCCTTGCTCAGGGCCAAGTCCACGTTGGCGATGGTGATGCGGGTCTCCTCCGGCGTGCCGCTGAACTCGTCGATGGCATCTTGCATGACCTTGGTGGCCTCGTGCTAAGACACGGGAACCCAACACACCCTCCGCTCGCCTCCACCCACCGCAGGTGGCCTGATCACACTTCACATCTCTTCTAGGAAACGTAAAGCAATCCCCCTGCCCAACCTGGCCCGGGAGAGAAAGGAAACAGGGAGACGGAGGCCGGGAGCAGTCCTGCTACATGGGAGCCAAACATAGGATGACCCACCTCCATCTGTGGAGAGGCTGCAGGGGCAGAAAGGAGAGAGATCGCTTTGCTGTCCAGGGCCACTGTTCTTGGAGGGCAGGGGGAAGGTGCCCAGCTAGCTGGGGGGTACAGAAACCCCCAACTGTAAGAAGCTCCCTATTCCTTACCACCTCAAAGTCTTCCCATGGGAGACCTATGGACGCATGTCCTTGAACTTCCCTGCTTAAATGTTGTGGGATTGGGTGCAAAGAGGTCTCTTGATATTTTCATTATATTTGTACCCTTAATTATTTTAATACAGATACTTTCTTTGCCCATTTTGGTGCTTTTTGCCTTGCATTCAGCCTTCCCAGCATTTCTCCCTCAACCTCTGCTCAATCTCCTACGATGTCCTCAATGCTTTCTGTGTTCCACTGGTTCTCTCTTCTGTAGGAACATGGGTTAAGCCTTTAGCGGAGACCTGTTGTCTTTCTTATCCATCATCCCCTCAAATCACTTATTTTTCCTGGTTTCTCAACCCTTTCCTCCAGTCAGAGAGCTTCAGCAAGGGCTAGGCTACTTTCCACTCTTTCTCGTGAAATCATAGTTTTCTAACGACATCCTTGTTTTCTGTGGTTACTCTAACTCCGCCAGCTGACTTTTCATCGCTCCCCGTTTTACTGGGACCCCTTTCTCGATCTCTTACGTTCTACTTTGAGCTCATTTTATAAGACCCCATGTTCTTTTTCTTTTCACTGTGTAGAAAAGTTTTCTGAAAAAAGTTTTTTTTCTTCTATTTCTTATAGTACTCTTTCTCCTAAAGTATAACCTTGTCTTTGGTCTATTTTATCCCCCCTCCCTCCATTCACTCAGTAACCTATACTGTAGTTCCACACTGGGCCCATTCTGATCACCCCTCTCCTCTACGGGAACAGCTTCACCTAAGCTTGCCTTTCTCACGAGCCGGGCTGGGAGCGCCTCTCCCCTTAGCTTTCTCCCGCTGGAGGTAGCCTTTTCGAGAAGCCAGGGTCAGGCTGGAACCCGCTGGCTCGCAGTGAAGGCCACGGCTCTCAGGTCTGTTATCTTGGCCCAGGGAGCTGCAAAACAGCTGCCAGGTTATTTCCCTCCTTACTGTCCTCTGGCCCACCACCCCGACGAAGGAGCCTGGGACAGAGGACACCGCGGGCCTTTCAGAGGGGAATTCTCGCTCAGTAGCCTGCCCGTCTATGGGCTGGATGCGGGTTCCTCCAGGAATGTCCCTGCTTTTCCCGTGGCTTCACCACATCCCCAGTTCAGAAAGTTTCAAGCAAAGGCCAGAACCTCAGGCCCCCCACTCACTGCACCCTGCTCTCTCTCTGTCACCCATGGTAGCTTCGGCGAGGACGGGGGTCTTGTGACCTGTTCTCCTTTATCCGGGGCCTCAGCCCAGGGCCTGGCATAAAGCAGGTCCTCCATCCACCACTGAACGAATCACTGACTGTCAACTATTCTTAGAGGCAGCTGTCCCCTAATTTTGTTACAGATGGAGATTCCTTCCCTTTTAATTCTTTTTGGCAGATTTAAGGGAGGGAAGTACCGTAAACAAGTTTCCCCATCCCCGTCTTTGCCCAGGAGGCAAATTTTAACTTTAAGAAGAAAAGTCCTCGCGGACTGATTCCCCTGCTATGCTGCGATCACCGTAGGAGGCAGCAGGATGGCCCAGGACTGGTGGACCATGGAGGCAGGTGGTCCTGGGGAGCAGGTGAGTGGGCAAGGCCAGCGAGGCTAAGGGTCACAGGCAGAGTCCAGCTCCCCCAGCCCTGGCCTTGCCCCTGCCAGACCTCCCGAGGCCCCGGGGCTGCCTCACACAGGTCAGACACTGCAAAACTCCAAGGGGACGCAGTTCATAAAGGTGATGGCGTGACTGGCATCCACTGGCAGATAGGCATTGCCCAATCTGCACAGCCACCTGGGGTGGGCCGGAGGGGCCTGTGTGTGCCGCCTCCCTGAGATGCTGACGGGGACCGGGACACAGGCGGGGGGCAGATCAGGCAGGTCCCCGTCAGAGTGGGGCTTTATCTTGAGGGCCATGGGAGCCACGGAGGCCTTTTAGGCAGGAGAGAGCTATGCTTTCAAGGGAATAAAGACTCAAATGTTAGCCTAAGTAAACATTAGCCAGAATCAAAAGGCCTGGTGCCCAGGCCGACCCTGGCCCTCCAGCATGCCCCAGTCCCCGGGGAGAAGAGCCTGGCTGTCCTTACCAGCTCCCCGTTCATCCGGAGGGCATCTGCCAGCTCCAGTAAGATGGATGCCCGCTCACTGGGCCCCACAGAAGGCCCGCGGACCTTCTTGCCTTCTTCCGCCTTCAGAGTTGGTAATTTGATGATCATTTTCAGGGTCTTGATGGCTTCTGGATAGTCCCCAGACTTGTTGAGGGCCCTGGCCTTGATGAAGTGGTAGAGGGGGTGGTCTCGGACCTAGAGGAGCCGAGTGGAGGGTGGGGCTCCATCACCGCTGCTGCTCATGGCACCCTGAGCCCACTGAGCCCTCCCCCGCCTGTGGGCCAGCGGAGGGGCAGAGGATGCAGGGAGCTCCCGGGGCTCCTCTCCCAAGGCCTGTGGGGCCCGCAGCCAGCTGGGCTTGGGGATGCTGAGCAGGTGACTGGGCGCAGAGGAGCCCCACCTGGAAGTTGTGGCTGACGCCCAGCTCCAAGCAGTGGGAGCACATGGCAAAGTTGCCCTGCGCCAGGTAGATCTGGGACTTGAGGAGGTGGGCGTGCACGGAGGCGGGGTCCAGCTCTAGGCAGCGCTGCACGGTGCTCTGGGCATTCTCTAATTCCCCTAGAAACAACCAACAGACCCCTGCGTCCAGGGAGCCTGGGGGCCTCCGGGGACCCAGTGCGCAAAGGCAGGGTGACCTTTATGTGTCCTGCTACCCAGGAGCACCCAAGGTTGGCATTTTACCCAGTTCTGTTCCGCCTCACTCAGAGGGCTCCTCCTAGAATGAGAACGACACAGTTTTTGTGAAACTCCAACCTCAGTGTCACACCTCCCTCCTCTCTGTCACTGCACTCCTCCACCTGGAAGCTCCGGGGAACACCCAAGTCCTGGTGCCACGCCTAAGAGCAGGATGAAACCTAATAATAACGGCAACTGTACTTGCCACAACTTACCAAGCACCTGCTCAATGCCCAACCCACGCAGAACGCTTCAGAAAGGCTGGCTTAGTATTTGCCCAGCCCTGCAAGGTTGGTATCGTTCTCCTTGGTTCTTAGCTGGAAGGCTGGGACAGAGCCAGCATGTGAACCTGGGCCCTCAGTGCCTGAGGCTGAGCTGTGGACGCCCTGGCACTGTGGGGCTGAGAGCCTCCCTGCGGCCGGGCTGGCCCTTTGCGGGGGCAAGTGGCATCCCAGGGGTAGGGTGCAGTGAGCTGGGAGGGGAGCCAGGTCCCTCAACAGCTCCTGCTCCAGGAAAAACAAGCATTGAAAACACAAGCTCGGGGGTCACCAGAGGCTGGGAGCAAAACAGGCTATGGGCCAGCCAGGGCCCCCAGCAGCCAGGGCCCTCTACCGCATGACCTGGTGGGTGGGGCACACCTGCTCCTGGGTTCCCTACACCCTGCTCCTTCCCTGTGAGCTGCAGAAATGTCAAGATGTCTCCATGGCAACACCACCAGCTGGAGACCTTGCTTGGGCCCAGGGGGAGTCCGCCTTCCCTCACCTGGTGCCCAGGAGGCCTTAAAGCTGTGGGTAAACCTGGTACCCAGATGAACACTGGGAGGACCGAGGGTGCAGACAGGGGACCCCCGGCAGAGAGCCACCCACCCAATGCAGCGCCAGAGGACAGACAGGCGCATGGCATTCGGATGCTTGGGAAGCCCCGAGACAACAGACGTCAGCTTGGCTCTCAGGCCGAGGGGTGAAAGGCTGCAGGGAGAGGGAGGGAGGGAGAGAGAGGGCGAGGGGGCACCCAAAGGGGTTGTTCCTTCTTCCCCTCTCTCTCCAGGATCTGGGCCTTGAGATGGGAGAAGGAAGCCACTCTGGCCACCCTGAGGCTCTGAAAGACGAATGGAACAGGCGTCTCCTCCCCATGAGGCCTTCCTGACCCCCGATAAAAACCATAACCCTACCCCCCACCCTTCCTGCTGTAGTTTTCTCCTGATAAAACAATACAGTGTGCAAACTCCAGGAGGGAATTTCTGCCTCTCTGACTGCGAGGGTATCCTGGCGTCAGCGCAGTGCCTGCACACAAGGCAAGTTCAGTGACTGCTGCCCGGCAGAGGCCACGCAATCAGCAAAGGTCTGGGTGGGAGAGACCCCTGCTGGTGAGGGAGGTCAGGAAGGTTTGAGGGGATCCGAGGCTGGAAGGCATGATGGGGCAGGCCTGGTGAGTGTGTGTGAGTGTGTGTGTGTATGTGTATGTGTGTGAGTATATGTGTGAATGTATGTATATGTGTGAGTGTGTGTATGTACGTGTGTGTGTGTGTGTGTGTGTGTGTGTGTGTGTGTGTGTGTGTGTATGTATGTGTAAAGCATCCCAGCCAGGGAGCCCATGGACACTAACCCAGGGGCAGAAGTCCCACCAGGTGTCTGAACAGATGCGGGAGGACGCAAGTTCCCACCTGGCCACCAGGACCACGGGCTCACCTGAGAGATACTTGATCTGAGCCATCACATACAAGGGGCCAATCAGAGCTGGTGCTGCCTTCACGACAGGAGTCAAGATCATCGCAACTTGCTTAAGAAGTGGAGACACGATCTGGCCTGGCGACCGGGGCTGCGGGAACGGGGGCCTGGCTGTGAGGTTGCCCCATCCTGGGAGACCCCTGGAGCCTCAGAAAAAGCTCTCCCAGGAGGGAGCGGGACTCCACACAGGTTTATTGCCCGCTCGGTACACCTGGTGCCCAGCAGGCGCTCCCGGGACAGGGACTTTGTTTCGTCCATATTGTGCCCGAGTGCCTAGCGTGGTGCCGGGCACGGGGCAGAGCACTCAGTAAACAGTTGTGGGGATGACTCAGGCCAGGCATGAGGGCTACTAGGCATGTCAGATCTGATCCCTGCCCACAAGAATCTCAACTGGCTGGGAAAGCAGGACGGACAAGTCAAGACGAATATACTTCTTCGAAGCCTTCTGGGAAAAGGGAGCGCAGTTCCTCTCTAGGATAAAGGCCGGGGCATGAGCCAGGGGCCTGCTCCTCCAGGTGCGGTTCCTGGACCAGCAGCACTGACATTACCTGGGGGCTTGTTCCAGACACGGGGCTTCTACCACCGAGTCAATCCCTGCACGGGAATGACCCCCGGGTGATCTGCGTGCTGCACGTGCGAGTCTGAAAAGCACTGGCGCCCCCCCCCCCCCCCCCGACCTGGGGCTCGCAGCAGCCCGGGGACTGGCCAGGGGAGGCCCCTGCCGCTGTCCAAACCTGTACTCCAGGCCCCTGCCATGAAGATGCGCCTGCGGCTAACCTGCTTGGGGCAGAAGAGCAGGTACTCCCTGACGATGCAGACCAGGAAGAGGGGGTCCAGCTTTTCGAAGTACTCGGGGCCCAGGGGGAGGCCCTGCATGTAGGAGAAGTGCAGCTCGGCCGCCTCCTGCAGGAGCGCCGTCACCTCCTGCTCCCCCTTGTGCCTCTTGGACGCCAGAAGGGCTTGGAGGAAAACCAGCACCTGTGGAGGCAGGCCCGGGGCTTGGAACCAACGCCAGCCGGCGGAGTTGGTCGATGAGGGTGAAGCGGAGGTCCAGGCCATCTTGGCTACTCTCTCCATTGGGGTGGAGGAGTTTGGGGAGGGGGACACACTCCTGGGGCAACCCATGCCCTCAGGGAGCTCTGACCTCTGACTTCCCCAGGGACTGCTGCACCTCCTTCAGGAATTCCAGCTGGTGCTCGGCCTCCTCCAGGTGGCCCTCTAGGATCTGGGCCCAGATGATCCCTGGGAATGGAACAGAACATGGATCAGCAGCCAGCTCCCAAGCACGGCCAGCAGGCCAGCAGGCCAAGGAGCGTGGTGGGACCCCGGCAGGAAGGATCTCAGGGTGGGGGACCTTTTCCAACATCTTCATAAACTTAAAGTGATACATGCTCATGGGAAAGAATTCAAATCTTAAGGCAAAGTAGAAAAGCAGCCCTAGTTCATGCTCTGGCTTTAACCGTGCCTCCCTCCAGAGGTAACTTCAGGTTATTAACGCATACACAGCTTTTCCTGGTAGTTCATACACATCTACCCCATTCTCTTTAATGAAGATGTGATATTCCACAGTGGTTGGAACCACTTCTTTAACTGTTGCCCCACTGAAGGACGCCTCATCGCACACTTGGTTTGTGTTCAATGACTAACCATTGCAGTGCTGCTGTGAGCATTTTGTGTGCGTTCCAATCCCTGAAGCAGAGGCGATGGGTCAAAGAACATGCGTATCTAAAACACCGAGAGATAAGGCCAACTTGTCCTCCACTGATATTTGAATTCATATATTACTGCCAAGAATTTGAAAGTATCCTTTCCTTTTCACCTCGCAGACACACTGTACTCTTTGCCAGTCTAAAAAGTGAATTCTAACTTGTTTTAATTCACATGTTTTTGATTATTAGGAAGAATGAACGTCTTTTCATATATTTAATGGCCTCTTCTTTTCTACTATGAATTTTTTGTTCAGAGCTTTTTCCTGTTTCTCTTTTGGGGTGATTCCCCCCCCCCCCATATTATTAACTCTCTGTAGCTAACATTTCCTATTAGTTTGCCATTTACCTTGTCGCTATTTTTAGTGTCTCTTGCCATCCATGAGTTTCAAGTGTTTACACAGTCAAATCAGTAAAATATTTTCTTTACAGTTTCTGAGTGTGTGGTCATGCCTAGAATCCCCAGTGAACCCAAGTCCAATTTAATATTTATGTTTAAATACTTCATTCATTTGGAACTTATTACTGAATATGGTGTGAGGTGCAGAGTTACCTTTAGTTTTTTTTCTTACTGGATAGCCAGTTATCCAACTATGATCATTGGACTTGGGTTTGGAGTCTATTGGTTTGAAGTGTCATCTTTATCCTGAGACCTGTTTCGATCCCATTTTATCTGTTTATTTCAGTACTGGCCTCAAGCTGGTTTAACTACCATTGTTTTGTGATACGTTTTGAATTTGGGAGGACAAATCCCATCTGTTTCTACTATTCTTCTGTTGATGTTTTTTTTTGGCCATTTGGCTATATTTATTCCTGTCTTCCTAATCACCATCTTGGTTTTCAGTGATATCTGTCCTGCTATTTGGCTCATCTATGGAACTTTTTACTTTGTATTCACATTTTTAACAACTCTTTTTTGTTCCCTGTATTTCTTCACAGTAGCATGTTCTTGACTTATTGACATCACAGTCTCTGGAGCCAGCTGACTCTGGAGGTGTTTGGTGGGGGAACATCTTCTCTGTGTCAGCCATGACCTTGCACGCACCCGCTCGGCCCCCCATTCAAACTGTCAGAAGATTTACACAAGGATGAGGCTCATTCGTACGAGCAGCTGGGCAGGTCCCCCGAGTTGTGAAGGCGACTGATTTCCTCAGCCAGGCCAGATACAATGGTGACGCCAGGATGCATGTGAGTGGGCCTGCCCTGGGCTGGAGCCCGGGGGACTGCCCCGTGGACTTCCCTTCTGGCCCCCCTGCTGGGGCTCTCCTCTTAGATGAGGAAACAGGGAAGGAGTCAGCCTGATGGAGGAACATTTGAGGGGGTTTTGCCCATGTGGCCGGGAGCCACATCCTGTTGTGCTGCTTGTCCCTGTGGTGGTGGGAAGCCACCTGCTTGGGGCAGAAGAACAGGTTTGTTTCTGCTTCCTCCTGAGCCTCCTGATTGCGTCTCTGGTCGCCAGTGTTGCTTTGAATCCACTTTTGAGTGTTCCTGTGCCTCTCCTGTGTGAGTATTCCTATGCTTGTAGATTCACGGAAAAGCGCCCTGTCATACAATGCACCCCCAAACGCACACACCCTCTGGGGACAGTGCTCCCCCACACCTCTCTTTTGGGCCCAGGAAGGCCACCCTGCTTGGCTGCCAACCCCTGCCCTTCCAGCGCCCACCCTACCCAGCCTGCAAAGACCTGTCAAGGCGGCCACACTGTTCTCGTCCACTTTCATAGCCTCCGAGTACCACACAGATGCCTCTTTCACTTGGTCCTGCAGGATGAAGAGGTAGCCCAGCTCTATGGCCAGGTGGGTGTAGGTGGGTGCGGCCAGAAAGGTACGTTCGATGAAGCTGCACACTAGCTGTAGAATCATCTGGTGCCTCCCACACTGCAAGGAAGGGACACACAGGGATGGGGAGACCAGTCAGCGCAGTGGGTCTGAACAAGGCCACATCAGAATTGGGGGGCATTTTAACAGGCCTAGGAGGGGGGCTCAGGAGAGCCTCAGAGGCACCCTATGTCCAGGCAGCTGGGTCTGTGTCGCTGATCAGCTCCCAAAGAACCTCCCACGGGCCACAGCTGCCTCCGGCCCGAGGGACCCATGCCCTGTCTGGCCGCAATAACTGGTCCAACGAATCACCAGGAGGTTTTTCAGAAATTGCAGCTGGGTGAGAGAGGTTCCTGAGCCCCGCTGACGGGAAGTGACCCCAAAGGCTGCGAGCAGCCACTTTCCCTGCCATGTGCGGGGTCCACAGAGAGACTTGGCCCAGACGTGGAGGGAGAGATGGCCTCCCAGTGGCATCTGAGCCCACGGTTCTGTCCCCTGAGGCCCGAGAGCCACCCCTGTTCTTACAGCAAGCCCTTCTAGTGAACCCTGCTTTGAGGCTGATGGGGCTGACAGAGGCCGACGGTTTGGCGGCCTTGCCTGATGTCAGAGAGGCCTCCTAGACGGGCCGGCCTTCCCGGGTCGCTTCCGCAGAAGGAATATGGGAGTTGGGTGCCCTGTACCCTGAGGCCACAGCTGGGCATGGCTCTGCTGTGCAACAGCCATACTACCACCCTCTTCCCTGAAAAGAGGCGCCACCCACTCTAAAAGTGCTGCCTGACGGCATCTCCCTGATCTTCTTAGCATCTCTGAGGGGCACCTGGGCCGAGGAGACAGGGCCCACATGACACAGGTGTTGGCCAGAGGCAGGTAGGGGCCACAGGGTGTGGGCGATAAGTCCAAGAGGCCAAGTTTGAACCAGAGAGAGGAGAGGTGGAGTACACAGGGAGCTTCCAGGGGGACCATAACCCCCCCCGCCCCCCCCCCCCCCTGGCTCCAAGGGACACAGTGAGAAGCAGGAGTTCAGAACCAGGAAAGCGCCTTCTTACCAGTCTGCTAACCACAATAATTTTTTTAAGATGGAGGCTTGGATTTTGGGGTTCTCTTGTCTCTAGTGCCTTAATCAGATTTCTAATGTGATCGGCAGCCTGCAGGGACAAAACAGACGATGTCAGAGGCTACGTGTCCAACAGGAGTTGGGCAGAGGTTCTCCACTCCGGCTGCGTGTCACCATCAGCTGGGGAACCTTACAAACACCCACCCCTGAGTGCCAGCCCCCGAGACCTGGATGTAACTGGACATGGGGGTCCAGGTATTGGCATTGCTTCAGAGCCTCAGAGGGGAGCTTTCAGGAACATTGTCCATCGAAGAGCTGGCACTGCCCCTTGGGTGTGTGAAGAGAAGCTGCCCTTTCACACCCACCCAGGCAGAGCCTGGGGCCAGCTGTCACTGTGCCCACACCGAAGGGCACCAGGCCAGCAGCCGACTGCCTGGGAGGGAGGAGGGAGCCAAGATCCAGGGAGCACCCGCCAAAGCCTTGGGGTTGGATGTGCTATGAGGGGTTCCTCCATGGCTATGTTTGTTTCAAGGCTCAACTTCTGAGTCCTGAAAGAACTTACTGTGGTCATGTTTCCTTCTCTTGCAAGCTCGTGCACAGCTAGAATTTGGTAGGCATCGATATTTCTTTTATCTTTTTCTAGGATTCTGAAAGAGGAAGAGGAGCCACATGAATGGAGAGTATTCCTAGGCAAGGCGAGGATGGTGTAGCAGCGTCAACTTCTGGTTGTCTTCCACCATCCATTCTCCCCTCTTTTAATACTAGAACTCCCGAACTGGTGGGACACATGGCGACCCAGAACAAAAACTACACTTCCCAGCTTCCCTCTGCAGCGTAGGTGTGGCCATGTGATTGAGTTCTGGCCAATAGGATACACACTCAGGTGCCCAGTGTGATATCCAGCGGTGCCCTTCCAGCATGCCTTCCAGTTCTTCCTTTGCCTCCTTCCTGCTGGCTGGCACGTGGACCATGTGAGCCACATCCTAGGGATGGTAGAGCAGCGAGACAGAAGGGGCTTGGGTATCCTATAGCCCTGAACCACCAGTCAAACTTTTTCCTAAGAGAGGAACAACCTTTTATGTTATTTAGGTCATGTATTTTGGGGTGTCTTTGTGAGAGAAGCCTATTCGTATCCCAACGCACACACACATGAGCATGGTACCAGGGTGTGGGGTGGGGCAGGAGGTGCACGCAGCTGCAAGATGGAGAGGGCACTTTGGTTTCCATCCTCTGCCATTGTGAGGGAGGCTGTTTCTGGTCATATTACAGACTTTACAACATTCTGTTTCTTCATAGGAAACTTCATACCTTTTCAGTCTAGTCAGGGAATGGCCTTCTGTTTCATAGAGGGTTACTCTAATTAACATGTAGAATTCAACACCATTAGGCACAGTCCACATTCAAGGAGTTCTAACCATTTACAATGCTTGTGAACCTCATACATTTGGAGAAAAAAACCACCACTTGTAAATGATTTACAGACTAAAGAATCAGAATGGATATCAGAAAGTTCTTAGAACCAAATGATAAAAAATATGTAGCTATTACTAAAATGGTACCTCAAGGGCCAGCCGTAGAATGAAATGGTTATACAGAGGGGCCTTGATTTAGGAGTGTCCCTACTAACGAGTTTTTCCGAGATAGAAGCCGGCTCTCAGCGATTTTTTGCTTTGAGTTGACAGAGTAATTTGAGTTAACGAGCTCCTTAAAAAGCTCCGTCAGGGAACGAATTAAACTCGTAAGTCAAGGCCCCACTGTATTTTAAAAGAAGATTGAGAATGGAGGCGCCAGACTTTCAACTCAAGAGTTAGAAAAAAAACACACAAAACAACAACAACAAAAACCCAACAGAATAACTCCAAAGGAAGCTGTTGGCAGGAAATAATAAAGAACAGAAATTAATAAATTAGAAAACAGACATAATAGCATCAACAAAACTCAAAGCTGGTTCTTTCATAAGACAGATAAAAACGACACATTATTTTAACACTGCTGAAGAAAAATGAGAGAGGAGGGAAAAAAGAAATAATATTAGGTATGACCAAAGCCACACATCTGGAAACAGCAGAGATTTAAAAGTGGGAGGATTCCATGATCACCCAGAGCTGGCAAAGCTTTGGGGAGGAAGGTGTCAAGGTGTGAGGTGCAACCCCCTGGCACCAGACTCTGTGTTCCTGTGCGGGGGGAGGGGGGGGCGTGGGGGGGGGCAGCAGGACTTGGGCAAGGGTGGCCACGTGTGCCCAGGGCTGTGTCCTTTCCAGCCAGGTGCTTCTAGATAGCCGGTGGGCCCAGGTCGGAGGCTCCAAAGCAAGCTCCTGACCTAGCTCCTGCCAAGGACACTGGCCAGGTATCAACAAAGAGAGGGACGCTGGGGGCCCACAGAGTCACTGCACCTGTGGGGCCCTGCAGGCTGAGCAGGGTGGGATCACTTTAAAAAAAAAAAAAAATTTTTATTGATTTCAGAGAGGAAGAGAGAGGGAGAGAGAGATAGAAACATCAATGATGAGAGAGAATCATGGATTGGCTGCCTCCTGCACGCCCCACACTGAGGATCCAGCCTGCAACCTGGGCACGTGCCCTGACCGGGAATCGAACCATGACCTCCTGGTTCGTAGGTCAATGCTCAACCACCGAGCCACGCCCGCCGGGCAGATCACTTTCAATTTCTACCAGCCCCGCTCTCTCTGAGACGCCAGTTCCACTCATCTCCAGAGGAATGACCATCTCTTCACAGGGAAGGAAGAGGTTTGTTTGTGTGTTGTTTTCTTCCCAGCTGTTCTGTGCATCATCACAGAACTTATTAACAATTCATAGTGACGCCTGGGGCATTTAGGGGGAAAAAATGGAAGATCCACAAACTCTTTTCAGGGAGAAAATCAGTATCATACATTTTAGCATTACTTGATAGAAACAGTTAAAGCCTTAGAGTTAAAAAGACAAGCTTCAGTTATCTAGAAAACACCATACTCAAAAAAAAAACCAAAAAACTCCCATCAGACATTCCTCCCCTGAAACTGTCTTTAGCTCTCTTCACAGCTACCCTTGGCCTTGAGCTTCCAGTCTTAGTAACTCCTGAAATCTCCGCCGTTTTGAGGACCTGCCCAGCCCTAGACTAAAAGTCTTCTCTCAGTCATCACTGACCTTTTCCCCCTAATGGTTTTTTATTTATTTTAAATTTTTTTAACATTGAAGGAACCATATTCTTTTTTTCTTTGTTTTTTGAAACATACTTGAATTTTCATTGATTTCACAGAGGAAGGGAGAGAGAGATAGAAACATCAATGATGAGAGAGAATCATGGATTGGCACCCCCCCTACTGGGGGTGGGGTAGGATGGAGCCTGCAACCCCTGCATGTGGCCCTGGTCTGAATCAAACCTGGGACCCTTTAGTTCGCACTGACTCTCCATCCACTGAGCCAAACCGACGAGGGCACCCCTAAAGTTCTTATTAACATAAATCATATCCATATTTAAAAAAAATTAAATAGCACAGCAGTCCTTAGTCCCCTGCTTTCACCCTGTAACTCTTGCTGTTTTGGGTTCTATAGGCAGCTCCCTCCATCTTTCGTCTAAACGACATGCTCAGACCTCGTGGGATGCCCGTTTCTGATTTTTCCCTGCAGACCACAGGGGCTGGCTTCCTGCCGTGGCAGATAGGTGTCCTCCCTCTCCTCCCCCTCATGATGGGATGCTATCAGTACTCACAACTCCCCTGGTGACAATTTTTACTTTTTTGGTTCCACCAAATACACAGTATCTCCCACCTCCCCACCTTGCACGATAGGAGCATATTAGGGGCATGGTCGCCCCTCGCCCTCGCCCCTCACCTGTGTCCTGTTTCTAGCGCCTGCTCCCAGTCCTGCCGAGCCAAGAACAGCTTCATCTTGAGGATCCAGGCGGGCAGGAAGCTCTCCGAGACCACGGTGATCTGGTTCACCACCTCCAGGGCCCCCGAGTAGTTCTGCTGGGTTATGTGGTACATCGCCTGGAGGAGCCGAAGAGCCTCCATCAGTGCCCACGGAGGGTGGCGGCGATGCCAGTGTCTCCACCAGGTCAGGAGCAGAGGCGGACGCCTGGGCACCCAGTGGCCAGTCCAGGTCCACCACAGTCCTGGTTTCCAGGAGGGGCAAGGCAGGGGCATCAGGGAGAGAGCTGAGCTGTGAGCAGGCCTGGGCCTCTTGGAGGCCATGCGAGGGCTGCCCCCTAGGGACAGAGCTGGGGTTGCAGGCCACTTGCCAATTCTAGAACCGGCCCATTCATTTCCCATCCGCTTTCCTGAAGTTTGTCACTGAACACTGCCCCCTGGGGCCCAGGACAGCAAATTGGTGTCAATGAGGGTTTGAGAGCTCCTCTACAGAAGGTTGTGGGGCTTTTTCTGTGTCACGGCCGCTGGGCTGGGCTGGCCAGTGCCAGCCACCAGGTTCTCCTGGGTGCGTCTGACTCAGGAGTGCCTGCGGGGTAGGGGGCAATGCTCCTAAAAGACTTGAACCCGCACCCTGGAAAGGCTGAGAGGATGCTTATGTTGGACCTATAGCAACCTTCCGCGGGGGGACTATTCTAAATGAAAACGTACAAATAAACGTGTCACCGCAGCACTTTTTCCAAGTCTGCAACTGGAAACAACCTCAATATCCAAATAGGAGAGCCGGCTGGCGAGTTACGACAGCCCCATTCAATAGGGGACTGGCTCTGGGTGGCCATTCCAAATGGCGTTTGCTGATTACAGCTCACACGAGGGAAAGAGCCCAAATGATAACATGCCCCATGATGGTGACTCTATTGGATAACCACACGACCCACCACCCTACGGTGGGGGCCCTGTGTGATCCCCTCAGGTCCAGGAGAGTTGGCAGCTGGTGGCTCTCAGGGGAGCCCCCCTCCTGGAATCGCCCTGGACCAGTGGTCATCAAACTGCGGCTCGCGAGCCACATGCAGCTCTTTGGCCCCTTGAGGGTGGCTCTTCCACAAAATACCACGTGGGGGCGCGCACGTACAGTGCGATTGAAACTTCGTGGCCCATGCGCAGAAGTCGGTATTTTGTGGAAGAGCCACACTCAAGGGGCCAAAGAGCCGCATGTGGCTCGCGAGCCGCAGTTTGACGACCACTGCCCTGGACTGAAGGGAGCTGCCTGCTGCCAGGTCATCCCGTTCCCCGGGGGGCGGCCCACACTCAGCATCTTGTCAGCCAGGCGGGCAGTGAAGGGCCATCCCAGCTCCGCAAGTCCAAGCAGAGCGGGCCGGGACCTTCGCTGTGTCGGCTGTACCACCCAGCCTCTCCCTCTGCCCAGTCCCACTTCTTTCTCCTTCCCCACAGGTGCCGGTCCCAAGGGTGCTCCCTGAGAAAGGCCCCGCATGATAATCTCCATGAAAAGCGGCCACGGTACACCCCGAACCCACACACAGAAGAAAGACGGGGGGCACCGCCCTGGAGAGTTAACATGAGCTGTTAGCAGGAGTGGGAGGGCTCAGGGCGTCATTTTCATTCATCTTTTGACTTTTTAGACTTCTGCTTTTTAATGAGTGCGCACACAATTCGTAAGAAAGATATACACAAACAGAAGAGAATAAAGGGGTCGATTCCCTCTTAGACTGATTTAGTGAGCGTCACATAAGGAACGAGGAACTTCATTTAAATGAAGATCAGAAAATACAAAAACACAAAGCCATACCTCCCCCTTCACTGATGGCCAACCAAGTGACCTGAGCAGGTGGGAAGAGAAAAGGTGACATGAGGAGTATGCGAGAGAGATGCGGAGAAAGGGGGCGGTGAGCAAAACCAAAGGCAAACAAAGCCTGGAAACGCTAAGGCAGGACAGGCCCTGAGGCGGAGACCCTGAAGACGCCATGCAGAACGAGACAGGAACCCAGACTGAGCAGGAAGGAGCTGGGAACTGGGCTGGCTGCTGTGTGACCCTGCCCCCGTCTGCTCCCTGTCCTGGAGACTGAGGGTCGGGGCTGAGGTCGCCTGGTGGGTCGCGGGCTCCAAAGGCCCAGTCAGCGCTACCCACTCCCCTCCTCCCCGCTGCCCACCTTTCCCAAAAGCCCCAGCACATCTTTGTTGTCCTGAACTCCTTGTTCCAGGTACTTGATGGCTTTCTTCGCAGTTTGGGGCTTGTCTGAGGTGAGGTCCACCAAGCCTTTCAGCACGTAGCCCTGGGATAAGAACAAGAGGAAAGAAAGATGAGGGCTCTGGTCCTGCTGAGCCTGGAGTCAGCCCGTGTCTCCTGCCTCATGTCCCACCAGGTGTCACCGCACACCTGCGGCCCCGCCAGGCACAGCTGCATGCAGATCCCGGGGCAGCCCTGCTCGCTCTCACCGCCAGGCCTTGCTTTGTCCCTAGCGTCCCTTTGCCTGCAATGCCCTGCTCAGCACACGTCCCCCAAACCAAAGTATTTCCCCTGATTAACGACCACTAGTCTTTAAAACTCAGTCTAGGCGGCCTTCCTCGACCTTCCGGGCTGGGGTTGGGCCCTCCCCAGGACCCCCAGCTCTCTCGCTGAGGCACTCTCACCCCTCTCGTCATGGCCTGCTTAATTTACACTGCGCTCTGGAGGCCAACATGGGGCCGCTCCTGCTCTCTGCAGGTGAGCCGGGCAGGCCCTCTGAGCAGGCGAGCAGGAGCCATTCTGCGCTCACCAGCCCTGCCGGCCCCCCTCCAGCCTTCACCCAGCCTCTCCTGGCCGATGGGGCAGGCAGGGAGGGTGGGGGGCTCAGAGGAGCCCTAGGCAGGGTGCCCGCCCTGGAGAATCCCTCGTGGCCTGGACCAGCGTTTCTCCACTCTTCCATTACTGCCCTCCTGAGGAGCCCTTTTAGACATTTCCCCCCTAATCATTCCCTCCCACGCCAGGAAATTTTAATATCACAGATATACTGTGATACGTGTTGTATGTATAGCTGCGCCTTCCTCCCAGAGCCAGTTTTCAGCCTGTTGGGGGGGGGGGGGTGATATCTCCGCTGCTGGGAATGCATGGCCCCGGCTGAGGCTGCACTTCTGCTCTCAGGGCGGCTCTGTGCCTGGGAGGTCTCTGGTGTCTGAGCGCCCCCTGCGACCCAGCAGATCCGTGTCCTCGAGAAGGACACGCAGGCCCAATGCAGCTGGTTCATCTACTTAAACAAACAAACATGACATCTGGACTTTTAGCTAAAAATCTTCTGATTTCTAAATGTCAGCGATGAATTCAAGATTTTTAGGATATATAGTGCAGGCCACGGGGCACCTATCTGCAGAGGGGACTCTGGACAAACGTCAGTTTGTCCCGGACTAAAGCCCCGAGACACCCTGGGTGGGGTCACTTCGAGACCCTGGGTCTTGGCAGTGCGGGCCGGGCTGGGACCTCCCCCCATCCCCGTGGCCGTCTGTCCGTGGGAGTAATGGCCGCTCTACTCTGATGTGATGGGACGCTGCTGTCACCCTGGTGACGCCCGTGGCGAGTACCTCTCTGGCGCCGTTGGACAGCTGCAGCATGCGGTCGATGTACTCCTTGGCCTTGTCATGGCGGCCCATGAGCCAGAGGAAGAGGCCGGCGTAGTAGAGGGCAATCCAGCTGGCCGTCTTGCGGATTTCCTTCAGGCTGCTCTCCAGCTCCTGAATCGCTTCTTGGTCTGTGAATCCGAGAGAGGCGTGCGGGCGAGGAGGTGTGCCTGGTCCCGCAGGGGGCACCGAGGGCCCTGGTGGCTGCCTCTGGACACTCTGGGGCGCCCACAACACATGGAGCCAATGACACGGCAGTCCGGGGCCTGGAAACAAGGCACACTGGCCCCGTGGTGCCCCGGGCGCTGCCCAGGCCTGGACTTGGGCTTGCTGTCTCTTCTCCTCGGTGCCCAGGGTGGATAAATAAAAATATGCTGAGCAGACAGGCCAAACCCGAATCCCTCACCTCAGGTGCACAATTCATTCTGGGTGGGGGAATAGTAGTTTGTGGTCTCTTGGAACCTCTCTAGGGAAGTGGAGATGAGTAATAGAATTATTTATATCAGTGTGATTTTTCCTGACAACAGCTTGGCAAAGGAAAGCAAGGTGTCTCCCCAACTCTTGGGGTCTGGAAGGAGGACCCCTCCCACTGTTATGCTCTCTGCCTATGGCTCCCACTCAATGGGGCCTGGGCACGGGGTCTTCTTTTGAGGCCTTGCAGGGAAGGGGAACAGCAGCCACTCCTCAGAGGCCAACAGAACCTGCAGCCACCAGGTCACCTATGTCCTTCTGCAGCCCTGGAGGGGCTGGCTCCCGGAGTGGGGCTATCTTTCCCTGGTGGGGCCAGGCCGCGCTGGGCAGAGCTGCACTCACCGATGGTTTTACAGCACTTGTGAGCATAAATGAGGGCCATGATGGAGCACAGGGACACGTCTGGGTGATTCCGGAGGCTCTCCAGGCTGCTGATGGCATCCTGGATGTGCTCTGCCAAGTGAGACCACGTGGTTATGCTTTGGGCTCCAGGCCCAGAGGGCAGAAGGCTCCATGGCAAGTACATGGGGATCCTCATTAGGGCTGACCCGAGGCTTGGCACCACCTGGCTTGACCCAGAATCAGAGGACTAACTGGTACAAAATGTCCCCAATGGCCTGAGGTCCCTGAAGACTGACGCTCCTTGAAAAGGCTGCTGGCACCATGGTTCAGGCTGCCAGGGGTCGGAGGGCTTGGAGCTGAGGATGTACCCGTGGATACACAAGGGATACCTAGGAGGTTGAGATTTTTGGCTTGGGAAAGTTCTGGAAAAAGAACCTCAGGGCATTTCTAGTTAGTTGCACAAGAGCCAACAATTACATTTATCCCTCCATGTCCACTGACGTTGGCCATGGGCAGCTCAGCCTGTCCCTAGCCCAGGGTCCTTCTGAATGTCTGAGTCAGCACCTGTATGGGCCCTGCTCCTCCCCTGTGCCACGCCAGCACGGCCAAGGGTGACCCTGAGTGGGTGTAGTGAAGGATTTAGAAAAGACAGACAAGAGAATGAAAATCTGGGTCTTGGTGGGACCCTGCTTCTTTGATGGAGAGACAGACAGCACCACGGACTACACGCCGTGTCTTTATGTCCAGATTCCACGAGGCAAAGTAAGGGCGTGGTCAAGATGTTTACAACAGTCTCGTGGGTTTCGATCCTACTCAAGTACAGGCACCTGAACTCTATCAAGCCCACATCACTCAGGCACCTGGGGCCACGTGTTCGGACCATAGGTTCAAGCTCACAACCACAGCTGTTGTCTATAATTGTGCTGGGAGGGCTGTGCCCTCCAAGCTGGGACTTGCACATGGCCATGAGAGGACTGTGCCCTCTCATCAGTCCGAGGCCTGAACCTGTCCAAACACTGTAGCCGCTCTCCACACCCCCCTGCCCCTGTACCATACCTGCTGGTACCCACACCCAGCACTTCCTCCTTTTCCCGCACTATCAGCTCTCAGCTTCCAACCTCGGGATCAGTTCAATAATCGTGCAGTCATTTCTCCACCCACTCGTTGTGCAGATAGGGAAACTGAGGGGCAGAGCAGCAGTAGTGAGCCCTCTGAGGTCTCAAAGGCGACTACCTATGGATGGCACAGGCTTCTGCGGACGAGCCTGGGGATGACTGGGGGTAGGAGTGGGCGTCTGGGTGGAGTCAGTGTTAGTGCTGGGCTAGTGCCCAGGTCAGGAGGCCACCAATGACGAGTCCTTACCTTCCCTGAAGGCTCCATAGGCCTTAAAGAACTGCAGCACAGGGTCATTGCTGAATTTTTCCAGGCCCGTGGCCGCGGCCTGCTGCAGGTGGTGGAAGTACTTTTCCTGGTTGTAGTAAATGATCCCAGCCTGTGGGAGGGGAGACACCTACTGCAATAGCCCTTCTCCGTCTCTGTTCTGACCTCTCCCTCCCCTGTTCCCTGCTCCTCCTCAGTTCCGTGAAGGAAAGAGAAAGAGAAAGGGAAGTTTCTGGCCTCATCCTGTTCACCAGGCTCAGGAGCAACTCCATGCAGTTTCCCCAGGAAGGAGCCTGGAGGTGTCTGTCGTGGAATTATCCACAGATTCTGGTTCAAAGGTGGAAAATTCAACTCGAGCTGTCTTAGGAAGGGGCTCAGGGGGAAGAAGGGGGACCAATACTAAGAATAATTGCATCAGGAGTTAGTTACAACTTATTGTGGCCTAACCACCTCTGGAAAGTGTACCCAGGGCTTTACGTCCATTACCTTCTGCATCATTCTCTTCACAGCCTTCCCAGTTAAGAAAGCTGAAGGCCATGGTGACCGTGGCTTGACAGAAGTCACACAGTAACAGGGGCTGAGATTTTAAAGTGAGTCTCACTTCCCCTAAGGTTTCTGGGTGCTGGGGTTGGAGACAGATGTGGTTGGATTGTAACAGCCTTGTGGGCCATATGAAAGGGCCCAGGCATCATCCTGAGGATAATAGGACGCAGTGGGAATGGTTTTAAGCAGGGGAGAGGGACGTATTCAGATGTGCGTTTTTGCAAAAACCACCCTGGTGGTTGTGTGTGTGTGTGTGTGTGTGTGTGTGTGTGTGTGCGCGCGTGCGCGCGGGGGGGGGGGGGGGGCGGGGCTGGGTAGAGGGGGGATGGCTGGTGAACAGAGCTGAAGCAGAGAAACCAGTTGGGTGGGGGACTGTTACAGGTGCCCAGGGGAAAGGTGGTGGTGACCCAGGGCTCCGAGGTAAAAGTGGGTGATCTCAGGAGACATTTAGGAGTAGACGTTTCTTGCTGATAGATAGGACCAGAGGATGGGTATGAGGAAGAGTTAAAGCTGGGGGATCAAATGGTGGTGCCATCTACTGAGGTCGGGGACACAGAAGAGGCACCGGCAGGGAAAGGGGAGCTGATGGCAGGATGATGGAGACGGGTTGGGGGCGTTGGTTTGGAGGAGCTTGGGGAGAGGACTGGGTGGGGATGCCGATTTGGGGCTCATGGTGCACAGAAAGCACCAGACGGGATGCCCTCATCAGGGAGAGTGAAGCGAGAAGGGACAGGACCCCAGCAGCAGCGGAAGACAGCCAAGTGCGGGTCAAGGGGATGGCAGGAGCAGGTCCAGAGGGGGCCGGAGAGCGGCAGGGCTGGGGTGGAGGGTGGAGGGGTGACCGGGCTAGGGGCGGAGAGTCCCAAAGGGAGCGCCCGGCAGCGCCCGGGCCACGCACCATCAGGGAGGAGTCATTGCTGTTCATCTCTGGACGCCAACGGCTCGGAGTCCGGGTCTGGCGGGGCGGAGCGGGGCCGGATGCCGGAATCGGGGTCCAGGGCACGCCTCTAACCGCCGGCCGCCGGCGGCGCGCGCGTCCTTGGAGACGGAGCTGCCGGCCGGTTGCTAAGAGCGTCAGAATCCGGGGTGGGCGTGGCAAAGCGTCCACGTGACCAGGCGCTGGTAATTGAGCGCCGAGAGGGCGAGTCGGCGCTGGTGGCACCGGGTCCGCGCTGCGTTCGGGGACGCTGGCGCCGGGGTCGGGCCGCTGCCATGGGCCTGGGCTCCAGCACCGAGCAGCCCGCGGAGACCTCCGAGGGCTTCCACCTGCACGGGGTGAGTCGCTCCCGCGGCGCCGGCGACCGGGGCCGGGCGTCCACACCGACGCCGGGCGTCCACACCGACGCGCCGGGACGCCTCGGCGCCGGCCCCCGGGCGGCGGAGGCAGGGACCGGCCCTAGTGCGGCTGCCCGGGTGGAGGGTGAGGCCCCCTGGGCGAGGGGAACGGCCCGCGAGAGGCGGCCCCGCGGCAGTCCCGGGCCCGGCCGGTCCGCGGCAGCTGTCAGCCCGGCGCCCGCCCCAGTGCCAGCTGTGCAGGAAGCGGGAGCGTTTCCTGGTCGGGTCGGGCCCCAGCAATAGCCCTTCTCCCGGGCGGGTGTTGCACCAGCCCCAGGCGGGACGCGTCTGTGCACGGAGGTCGCCTGCGTGATCGCCTGCTGTGCTGTGTGTGCCGCGCTCCGTGCTGGGCCTGGACGCGGTCCCCGCTCTTGGGTCCGCGGGCCGGGAAAACCAAGTGGACGCCAGCTGCGGGGGGCTGGCGGGGGCGCACACGCCGCCCGTCCTGGGGCCGGGAAGGCTTCTGGGGCTCGAGGACCAGCGCTAACCAGCCGGGGAGAGCGAGAGAGCCCGCAGCCGACAAGGGGACAGCGTTTGCAGCAGGGGAGGGTCCCGGGTGAAAGATCGCGGCGGGTCGCGAGGGTCCCGTACGTAGCCCGATGGGGATCTGGGGGTCGAGATTTGTACTGTAGAGAAGGAGGGGTTGTAACGGAGGTGAGCAGACCAGGGGGGCCTCCGACCACTGGGTCAGGACCCCGCTTCCCTTGTGTAGCGTGGATGGCTGCAGAGACCGGTGCGAGCTTGTCAGTTCGGTGCCTGGCTGTTGCCTGGTCTCTGTGTTGTGATGGTAGGCTCTGTGGGTGGGGGGCTGGGGGGTTGGACGTGATGGGAACTCCCAAGGGAAAGCCAGACAGAGGGTCATGCTTGCTACGGGGGTCCTGGGGAGGGGGGGGGGAAGAGGTGTAGTGGCAGCAGCACAGATAATTTCTTCTGTAGGGCCATAGTGGTCAATGACAAGGCCCAGGGCCAGGGCAGTAAGTACAGCCAGGCGGAGCACAAGGCCACAGGAGAGGGTAGAGGGAGGCTCTGGGTGGCTGGGAGGGGGCTGGGCCTGGAGACTGGGGGCCTGAGCCTCTGGACCTTGTTAATGGTGGAGGGCAGCAGTAGTGGGCAGGTGCCAGGAGCCGGGTCTTACCAGAGGGAGGTGGGGTGGCTTAGAGTGGCCCCCGAACATGGAGGAGCGCCTCTTCCAAGCTCTCTCTGATGAACTGTCCTTTGGTTTTCAAAAGCCACGTAGTCCCAGCTTTCCCCTAAAGGGGTGGGGTCCTGGGGCTCTAGTAGATCCTCTCATTGGAAGCCACGGCAGCTTCGGAGGTGGCACGCAGGGGCTCGGTTGGTGACGCTGCCACGAAGGAGGCCAGGGGTGGACTGGCTTTGATCCGAAGGCTCAGCGGTGAGCTGTCCTTCAGTTTGGGGGATCCACGCCTGGAGGGGCTGGTGGGTGGCGGAAGCCCAGGGCCTTCCCCTGGCAGAGGTGAGCAGAACCAGAGGCCACAGGAACCCCAAGCCCTCTGGGCTGGGGCCTGGCAGATGCCTGGTCATCAGGGCCTCAAGCGATGACACCCAAAGGCCTGAGGGGTGGAGCCCACCTTCAGGGTTGGGACCTGAAGGGAGATAATAAAGGCCGCATTGTTCGGGCAAGGCTCTGTAAATGGGGCCTTGGAGAGGGATTGCGGCTGCAGCTGCAGCCCTGGTTGCGGTGCTTTTGGAGATGGGAGGAGTTGGGAGTCCAGTGCCGGGAGGGAGCACCTTTGGGCCAGGAATGACTCCTATGCCCTGCATGGGAGCGGAGGCTGAACTGTGAGGCGCGGACTTGGCACTGCTCACCAGGCCCCGTGGCTCAGGCTCCTTCCTGCCCCTGCGGTCTGCTCTCCTCAGCAGCTCCCATCACCTGCTGGGCTGACCTGGGATCTGTCACCACAGGGTCTGGGGCCCTCTGGGATCTGGCCACAGGCTGCCTTCCCTGCTGCCTCTTTTTGGCCACAGCCCTGGTTCTATCTCTCATGGGGCCCTGCCCACTTCTGTACGAAGGGCCCTCCCTTTCTGTCCACATCTTAACCTTTCTGGGAAACCCTCCTGGCGTTCCCTGTAGGCCTGCGCCACCCTGTTCCGTGGGGCCTCCTGGTAGCCCCCAGACTGCCCAGGGCTCTCCTACGAGGCATCCCTGGAAGCATGATCTGTGGATCATGGTCAGGGAAGAGCAGTTTTCCTAAAGAGGAAAAATGTGTGCCCGGGAAGGTGATGGGAGAGGAGGGAGGTCACCTTAGCAGTGCCCGCGTGCGGCCTGCCCGGGACGGTTCATGCCAGTGCCCGTTTCCTCGCTGGCACACGGGGCGTGGTGATGGTCTCTGACATTGAGGGCCAGGGCTTCTTGGAAGTCACGGGGCGGGCTCCGTGACCGGCCTCTGCCCTGGGACAGGTGCAGGACAACTCCCCAGCCCAGCAGGCCGGCCTGGAGCCCTACTTTGACTTCATCATCACCATCGGGCACTCGAGGCTGGTGAGCTCTGCCGTGTGTGTGTGTGTGTGTGTGTGTGTGTGTGTCCGTGTCCCGTATGCCCCAAAGGAGGCTCCAGCCCAGCTCCCACCTCCCTTTTCTTCTCCCTGCCCAGCGCTCAGCTCCTGAGCTCTCTGGGGTGGACTGGAGATCAGTGGACTCTTGGAGCTGGCCACGGGGCCTAGGGGCCTGCCTCTTGGGGCATGAGAGATGTGAGGGCTCTGGCCACGGGGCAGCTCAGAGCGGGACAGCCTGCAGTGCCCTGAACCCAGGAGGCTCTTTGATGAGTTTGTTGTGCTTTCTGGGTCAGAGGGGGAGCTGAGGGAGGCCCATTTAGCACTACTTGGGGGGTGGTGTGGCCCTGCTGGGGCAGCAAGCCACCAAGGCCCTTGCCCCACCTCAGACCCAGACTTGTCTGAGTGGCCGGATGGGGTGTGGGGGTCCTTGGAGTCAGCACCCTGCCCCCGTAGAACAAGGAGACTGACACGCTGAGGGACCTGCTGAAGGCCAATGTGGAGAAGCCGGTGAAGCTGGAGGTGTTCAACATGAAGACCATGCGGGTGCGCGAGGTGGAGGTGGTGCCCAGCAACATGTGGGGCGGCCCGGGCCTGCTGGGCGCCAGTGTGCGCTTCTGCAGCTTCCACAGGGCCAGCGAGCATGTGTGGCACGTGCTGGTGAGTGGGTGGGGCTGGGCATGGATGTGGGTGGGGCGAGGAGTGGGGCATTCGGGCCACAGGCCAAGCACTGCAGGGGAAGGTGGTGGGGCCAGAACACGTGAGGGCGTTTGGGGGGAAGGGGGGTTCCTGGGGGTGGGGAGTAGGGTGTGGGGGCAACTGGGACAGGCCCAGTAGCCAGGTGGGCTATTGGAGGACTCCCTGAGGGCAGGGTCCTTCTCATTCCAGTGTCCAGAGAGGGCAGCTCTTTACCTGCATGGCGTGCCCTGCCTCTTGTTAGCCGTATGCCTTTGGGCACTTGTGACCCTCTATCCCAGGGTGGGGAACATCCAGCCCGCGGGCCATGTGAGGCCTGCAAAATCATTTAGTCTGGCCCTGCCAAGGCATGAGCGGTGAGTTAATTAAATGTTTGACCAAACAGAGCAGGCTATTTTTAAGTTGATAATTTTGTGTGGCCCTCGAGTGTCATTATAAATATCCAAATGGCCCTTGGCAGAAAAAAGGTTCCCCACCCCTGCTCTTTACATGGTTTCTTATTTCGAGAGGTGGGGCTGCCACCTACTGGAGGGTGGTGGTGCCGCCACCGTCGCCTTGGTGTGTTTTTCCGGCTGGTCCTCTGAGACGCCTGGGCACTGGGCTGGTGCCTAGGGCCTGAACCTTGTGAGTCTCGGTGACGGAATTGTCACAGACGTTGCTGTCAGTGTCCATCACAGTTACACGTGCACACGTGACATGTGCGCCCACTGATGGTGCCCAAGTTCGCAAGAATGCTTGCTCCCACGACCTGGTAACAGGAGGGTGCCCTGAGTTGGAAACTGGCTGGCTTTCCAGCCTCCTCTGTTGCTCACCGACTTCTCGGGGAGCCTTCTCAACCTTAGACCTACCTCAGCTTGCCCACTAGTGCCACGGGGCGAAGATGGAAATCCCTGTGCATTCCTAGGAGGCTGGGACGGGCCAGTGGCTCACGGCTCCTCTAAGGGAGAGGGTGATCCTTATACCCAGTCCTGCCCACTGCCCTCGCCTCCATCCCCTCCCCAGGGGCCTTAACAGCCATGCAGCTGGGCGCTGACTGTGGGCCAGAGGGTGGCTTTCATTCTTTGCATATATTACTTGTAAAATCTTCTCAGCAACCCTATGAGTGAGCACTGCATGTCGCAGTCTTGATTGTTGGGAACCTGCAGCTGAGTTTGGTTAAGTATTTGTCCAATCGCCCAGCCAGCAGTTGGTGGAGTCAGGAGTTGAACCCAAGGCAGATTCCAGAGCTCAGTGCTGTGAGCCATGCCACGGTACTGCCCTCTGCTGGGGAGGTAGGGGAATTGGGGGGTAAGGCAGGAGAGTCTGGGCTCCAGGCCTTGGCCTGGGGACAGAGGGCAAGTGTCCTACAGGCTACCTGGAGAGGCAGCTCCGGCCCCCCTCCACGCCAGTAGTGAGGTTATGGTTCTCTATTCTTCCCCAGGATGTGGAACCCTCTTCGCCCGCCTCCCTTGCTGGCCTGTGCCCCTACACAGACTATGTGATTGGCTC